AGCAGAAGCCGATCGGTGCGCGGGCGCGATAGGCGTTCAGCTCGGTGACGCTCCAAAGACACACTAACGGGACCTGCGCGCGTCCTTTTAATTGTTTCGCAGCAGGCTGCTGCAGACCAGCGTCTCCCGTCCCGTCTCGCCCGTCCCGCCCGTCCCCCAGCGTCTTCCTTTGTCTCTGTTTTGAACTTTTTGCGGATCGCGGCGGCGGATGCCTTTGCGCGTCACAAGAGGCGGCCGCGGCAGCACCGGCGGCACCCAGACCGTTACGCACAGGCTCGGCCCAAATTGCAAATCATTGGAAGAGTCCCATTGGGCGCGCTGCTAACGAGTGACAGTGGACGCGGGCGCTGCCGGCCACGCCCCGCGCGCCCTAACCACTGCCGTGTGGTACCGACCGGGCGCCGGGCCGGGCCCGGGGGCGACGCTGAGGGGCCTCATGGCCAGTCCTTAACCCGATATCAGCCTGGGCCGGACGTGCAAATCGTGTGATATTTCTCTTCCAAAGTCTACAATAAACTAGCGAAGTGTGTGTGCGCGCGCGTTATCCCGTGGCTCTCTTTCTTTCTACTCTACTATATATTTATACAGATATAGATTCCCGCACTACAGGTGGAGGAGCGCCCGCGCCGGCCGTGTTCAGTTTGGTGGCCGCTGCGTCCGACACGACGCCGCTGGCGGGACTGGTTTATTTGCAAATATAGGCCGTAACAATACACCTCTCTCGAGCGTTGCTGCTGCCGTGGCGTTTAAGTGCGCAAGATGTATGCCGTCTAATTCAATACAAAATGAGACGATAAAAAATTATTTTACAGCGTTTCATCTTTGAAGAGCACTTGCTCACTTTTATGACGTCGATCGGCGCGTAAAAAGCTCGGCGTGCCGCGAAAGCGCGGGCCTTTATTGTGTACGTTACAGGATGTGTCAGCAACGTCGCGCCCCCAGGTAGATAGTTGCACTCGCGGATGAGAACAGGTTGTTGTAGTAGTGGTTATCTGGGTTTTGTCAGGGAATAATTGGTCACTGGGAGTATTGTCTAAAAACACGTGTATTGGTCCTAAATATTCCAACGTCACGAACCACCAACCACCAACTCCTATTGGCGACTGACGGACTAGGCATCCCCTGCCGCCGGCCAGGCCCCTGCGCCTCTAGCCGGGCGGCCTGCGCTGGCGGGATGAATCCCTTACGTCAGCTTGACAGCGGTTCCGATCACCTCTCTGCCTGACGTTCGCTTGTCCAGGTGACAGTCACGGCCGAGTGGGCGCCAATATTTGAACTCAAAATGTTAAGTCTAAATTGATAAGTCTGCCCACAACAAGTTGGCGCCCTGCTTCCCGTTAACCTTTGCCCTAACATATCGACCTTGTTGTTCCAGGGGCTGGCGAGGCCGCAGCGGAGGGACGGTGGACCCGCCGGGGTGGTTCCCAAGAAGCGCATGTCTCCCCTTGCCGAGGCCTACCGCTTCCGGGACCACCGGCAGCGCGACGCCCCGCCGGCAGCAGCCACGCCCGGGGCGACGGCCCTCTCGTCGGCGTCCTCCAACGCGCTCAACCTGTGCGTGCCCAAGACGTCCCCGGCGTCCTCGCCGGCGCTCCGCGGCGACCAGCAGGCCCTGGAGGGCACCCCACCGCCGCTCAGCCCCGTGGCCATGACGCCCCCAGCCGCGGCGGCCACGGCCACGGCAACAGCCACGGCCTCGCCCGTGATCGGCAAGCTGCTGCAGCAGCCCGTGTACGACCCCAACAACAACCACAGCGGGCCGCAGTGCCGGCCGCCCCCCTCCGCCCCCCACCGCCCCATTCCCACGCGCCCTGACGCCGCCTCCTACGGCGCCGTGGCCAACGGCTTCGGCGCGCCGCCCCCACCGTCGCCGCTGCCGCCGCCCGCCCCCCTGGCGCCGCCGTCTCCCTCGGCCGCGCTGCCCGAGGCCGCGGCCGCCTCCACCATCAAGCGGGAGGTGGTGGACGAGGCTACGGGGGCGGCGGCGCCCGAGGCTGCGCCCGAGGCCGCCGAGGACAACAACAACAAGCTGCACAGCTGCGAGGCGTGCGGCAAGCGCTTCTCACGGCGCCAGCTGCTCGTGCAGCACCGGCGCGTGCACACGGGCGAGCGGCCCTACACGTGCGGGGCGTGCGGCAAGCAGTTCAGCCAGCGCGGCCACTGGAGCACGCACCAGAAGCTGCACGAGCCGGCGCGCGCCGCCGAGCACGCGTGCGAGGCGTGCGGCAAGGCCTTCGTCACTCGGGCCTCGCTCAAGGTAAGGAATGCGCGAGGGCTTGCCAAGGGCCCGGCCGAGGGCTCGGCCAAGGGCTCGGCCAAGGGCTCGGCCAAGGGCACGCAGGACCTAATTCAATAACAGCGGCTTTACTGCCTCCCATTTACTCGACTACTACTGACATGGAAATGACGCCATAAAGACTGGCGATCGCCGGCCGCCCGGCCGCAGCCTCCGCTGCGCAGCGCTGCGGCTCGCTCGCCGCTCCCGGCCCGAGGGAAGGGGAGACTCACACGGTGTACGTGTCCTTAACCCTTTCACCACCCGGGCCGCGCCGGTCCATCAGATAACGCGACCTGCCTCACCGTATCACTTACTCGCCCTCTGTCCTCCTCAAACCTGTTGCTCGTCCCCCCGCTCATTCATCAGTTTAAAGGAAAGGAAAGCCTGCGCTCGGTAAGAGGGGTTCGGTTTTACCTCAACACGATCACGGCGACACGCCTGACTCGGGTATCGCCGTGAGTAACGACGCATGTGCGCGGCGGGCGGGGGCCGGGGACAGGTGCAGGCGCGCCGGCGCGCTCCCATTCCTCACCGAGTACCTCCGTAGGCTTTTGGGCCAGAGTTATTGACCCCGGGCCGGGCCGGACGGACGGCCGCCGCCCGCCGCGTAGGCAACACCTCCGACGTCCTGCCGCTCGCCCCGCCCCGCCACCGCCGCCCGCTCAATCCTCCTCGAATGACGGCTCAACTTCTCCGCCCCACGTCGCCGCCGGGGGCGACAACTGGCCGATGATGATCGATTCCCGGCTCTAGTCGGCCTGCGAGGCGGGGCAGGTGGCTGGTCGAGCCCGGTCGGGGTCAGGCAAGAGCACTCTTCGAGGTATCGCCTTCGAGATTGTCTTCTGAACCGGAATGAGGGTCCTCTGGATCCCTCGCCTATCAAACCCTCGAGTTATCGTCATGTCCCTGGTGGGCAGCGAGCAGTAAAGTAACACTCGGCGCGCCTCCTACCGCCGCGCACTTCGCTCAGGTCCCCTCGGCCTGCTCTGCTTCGCTCTGCTCCCCTTCCCTCCCAATCAACGCGCCATCGGCATTGTATGGAAGTGGCGACGCCGAGCTCTAAAGCAGACGGCAGCGCTTTGTGCCTCGGTATGATAATGTTGGCGGCCGAATAATGCGGCCGTGATGAAGATGATGATGGTGGTGGGGCCCACTGGTGGGCAGCGCAGCGCCGGCCAGCGCCGTCCAGCGCGCTCCGCGCTACTGTACACTCTGTAGTGCAGCAGCGTGTTTATGCACAATGAAATGCTCTCACTTACCGAACACGCCGGCGGGGCATAGCCGGCCGTGTGTGTGTGTGTGTGTGTGTTGCTCCCGCGAATTGAATTGGCTGCGTTTGCATCTGATTATTATTGACACGGCGTGCGAGACTTCTGCTGCACACCGACCGTTATATTATGTGTGTTCGGGATGAATTCAATTGGTGCCGCCTAAGCTTCCATATCGGACGTTATTATTTGCTCTGCCTCTCGGGGCGCGGCTTTCACAAACACTCCCGCGTAACGACACGGCCGTGCGTCCATGGCCGCGTACGAGAACTTCACGAAATGGAAAAACAGCGGTTAATTTGTAGGTTTGTCCATTCTAACGCAAGCGCCTTACAGCAGCGAGTAGGCAACACGCACGCATGCATGCCGCACAGTATCCGAGAGGTTAGCATAACCAGACCAGATGGACAAGTTCTCCATAACTTATCGTAGTACAATTTCAATTGTGAACGCAACTGTCCGCACCCAGAAAATCCTTAGTCCTTCAAGTGCAATGGTCTTGACAAAGTGACAGGCCTTGAATTATTACCGTGTACCGTTCATGTGGTTCAGGATGTATGGCTTTCCAACTTAAATAGTGCACCCCGGGTCACCACGCTAGGAGTTAAGCAAAAATCCAATTTTGCTTTTCCGTGCATTATAGTACTGTACTGGGACGTTCCAGAGAGAAAAACGAGAAACAGAAAACAGTTGCGTCCGTCTTTGCGTCCTTGCACTGGTTGTGCGCGTAGTGCAAACTGCTGGCGGAGTGCGGGCTCGGTGCGCGGCGCGGGCGGGTCAGAAAGTAATTAATTCCCCCGCGCGATAATCGGGTCGTAAATCACCCGGTGCAGCTCGGGGGCGGCGCGGGGCAGGGCGCCCCCATTGACACAGCGCGACCCGGTGCGTGATGGATGTGTACGACCGCGCAGCCCGACCCACAGTTTACTGCTTTTTCCCCGCGTTGCTCTGCTTTGCCCCGCTTTTCTCAGCTTTTGCTCAGCTTTGCTTTACTTTTGCTTCGCTTTTCCCCGATTTTTTCCGCTTTGCCCCGTTTTTTTTTTTTTTTGTCCTGCTTATTTGCCCTGCTTTGCCCCGCTTTGCCCTGCTTTACCCCGCTTATTTACTCTGCTTTGCCCCGCTTATTTGCCCTGCTTTGCCCCGCTCTGCCCCGCGGTCGGTAAGCGGGTTGGGCCTGAGCCACTGCGCAGCGGCAGCGCGCTTATGCACTCAGGCCGGGGAGCCGATCGGACGTGTTGTGGCGGTGCTGGCGGTGCGCCGCGGGGCGGGAGGGACCCGACAGGACCCCGACAGGGACCCCGACCTACTCGTCCTGCGTCGTCGCCGGCCCTGGTAGTCGTGGTGGTAGTGTGTTCCAAGGAGACAGCAGTCAGTCGGGGCACAGCGCGGCGCGGCGGGGCCTCAGCGGCGGCCCACTCTATTGGTCATCTCGTTAAGCCCTTGTGGCAGCAGCCAGCGGCAGCCAGCGGCAGCCAGGCTCGCCTGCCTTGTAGAGCATCGAGTGTCGCGGAGGAGGGGGTCGCGGGGGCAGCCGCCCTGCTGCCACCTGACATTTGCGACCGTGTTGAGGCCTGGCCGGGCCGGGGCCGGGCTGGTAGCGCGTCAGCGCGCCGGTGCGGCGGTATAAGGGTCTCGCTCGGGGGTCAGAGCACGGCCCGCCCGCCCGGCTCGCGTCCTGGCGCTGCGCTGCGAGAAGCATGTGTCCGCTTGCCGGCAGCAGCAGCAGCAGCAGCAGTAGCAGCAGTCACAGTAGTAGCAGAGCTGGCCTGGAAATGCAAGTCAAACGGTCGAGTTTTACTTCAGGCAGAGCGCCATCTTAGCTCAACATTTACGGCGCCGTTGCCAACGATTTGGTGACGCCGCTTGCGGTGGTCATTGTCAGTCAGTGCCGGGGAGGGCCAGCCCGCCTCACTGGCGATGCACCGCGCCGCCGACGACGACTTGTCGCGCAGGTTGGTTCACTGTCACAGCAATTTCTCATACAGCGGCAGCTGTTATGCATGAGAAGGCCAACGCCTGCATTCCCGGCGCGCGCTGCTCGGGTGCTACTCGGGCGCTGGTCGGACGCTGCTCGGACGCTGCTCTGATGCTGCTCTGATGCTGCTCACTGCTCGGACGCTGCTCGGACGCTGTTTGGACGTGCCGCGCTCATTACGGCACCGCGTCATCGCGTATGGCTCCGACCTTCCTTGCACTGGTAAAACAAAATGTTCAAGAGTTGCGAACCGATTGGCGGGATTCTCAATTGTGCAAACTTTAAACACTTACTTTGTGGTGTCGAACATGAATCCAACATCATAAAGTGTGCCGACTTTGCCGAGGACTTTCACAACGTTCCAAACGATTAAACCTTGCTCACTTTTGCGGTGTGGTTTATGTTTAAACGCCCTGCAGTGTGCTAGTTCGTGAAAAGCAAACTTAAAGTTTGCAAATATAGTGTGCACTTGTTGTGTGCGGGTCGGCGGTGGGCGCGCCGGCGCACCCTGCGCGGCGCCGGGGGCGGGTCCGGCGGGCGGGTCCCTCGGGCAGCGAGCTCGGGGCGTGACAAATGGACGGTAGCATTATTTGGCGGCACCATTCGTTACGAGTCCGCGCCAGCCTGCGCTGGCCGGGGCCTCGCTAAGCGGACTCCATTAGGAGCGTTCATCAGAGCAGTGTGCAGCGCAAACGGAACCAGCCCGGCACTCCTCGCCGGCCGGGCCCCAAGGCTCGCCCGCCCCGCCCGGCGGGCCGCCGGCTCCAGTCCTCGCAGCTCGCATATTTTTCGGCCGCGCCACGCCACGCCCAGCAGCCACGCCCGCAGGGCTGCTGCCCGACCGGCCGGCCGCAGCGAGCTCCGAACAAAAGTCGCTGTCAAATAAGACTTCGGCCATTAGCAGCGGCCGTCATTATCAGATGGATTTGGATCGAAACAGCGAGTGGCTTTTTCTTCGCTCCTCTCCTTCTCTCTCTCTCTCTCTCTCTCTCCCTCTCTCTCCGCCTCACGTAGATGTGTACGCCGCGGTCCCCAAACACTTTTTAACCCGTCCTTGATACGACATGATGTACTTAATGCAACCGGGCGGAGCGGAGCGGCCGTTCTGGACGCCTTCTGATTGATGAGCTGCGATGTGTCAGCGAATAGCGGAGGGAATGCGCGACACGGCGTGGTGCGGCGGGGCGGGGCGGGGTGGGGCGGGGAGGCGTGGCGCGGGTACTCAGTAAACCTTCACACTCTGATTGAGGCACTATCGCCGCGGAGCTGTCCGGGTGGATCATCGCGCCTCGGTAATACATCATGAATCACAACGTGTGGACTTTTACTCGCGTACCCGCTCCGCACTCCTCGCGCGCACACCGAGGCCCAACAACAGCGTACAACAGACCCGATTTTAGGCCCCTCGGCTGACCGGGAGAAAGAGTGGGGGGAGCTGCCAGGGGGTTTTACAGGGGTTTAGTGCAGCAACTTGCCTGCCATTCAGGCAGCTTCTTGGTGCTTGTTGTTCTCAACTAGGAAAATTAAAATGAAGCGAAGACAGCCGAGATGAGCTCTAACGCGCTCCACCTGCGCCCCCGTCGACCGCCAACACCTTACGAACTAGTGACTATGTTAAGTCACTTATCACGCTGCTGTTCCTTCTGCTATTTACGCCCACCAGGTCGCTGATTGACCCTTCTTACGCTTCTTTACGCCGTCCCCCGTCCATACGCACTGGCGGGTTGCCTATACTT